GGTAGATTTTATCTTTCGTCTCTCCTTCTTTATATGTATGCTTCTTATTTTACATCGTCACATATTTTCTATAACTTGTGTAACAATTACGTATAATAGTTATGAGGTTAAAAGTAGTGTAGTGTAAAATAACAGTATGACTTGACAGAATACATGGTTGTAATTAGTTGACAATATAAAAATATTTTACACGATCCGTGCATATCATTTTTTATCAGTAGTTATTGTCTTTTTTATGTTAATGTAATCATGCTTTATTTCAAAATCAACCATAATCTTAACTATTATATATGTAATTATTATTCATTCTCCTAATTTCTCTCTAATTTTTTTGTTCATGTACTCTAACAATATGATTTGATTAATATGAAAATCATGAAATATTAATTAACTTCCATGATGATATGCTTTGATTAAAATCATGAAATATTAATTATCTTCCATATTAGAAAGCTTTGTTTTTTTTGTTAATATTTTATATGATTATAGTTTTCTATCATTTAAAAGTGGTTAAGATTATATATTTTACTGACAAATTATTCATAAATTTTGACTTTTTAAATTTATATTCATAAATATATTGGTGCAAACAACACAAAAAGAGCGTATAGAAAATATCTGTAATAATGTAAGAAATGTCTTACAGTTTGGGTTTAATCAGAATTACAATATTGTGTAGTATTTCAATCTAAATTACTTTATAATGTATTTTAATTTTTTATTCTTTTATTTGTTTTTAATATTACTTCTCGTATGAAGGTGAAATTGTGAGCACATTGGACCATTAAAGAAAGATATCACCAATAAGAAATAACTACACATAAATGATGCAGCAAGAAGAAGAAATATCCTATAAGAAGGGATGACTTCATTCTTCCAATCATAAAGATATTTTATTCTCACTTTCTTTTTTATAAGTTGATGGGAAGAGTTTGAGTACTAATATCAATGAAACAATGCAGTAAAACACTATTTCATTTTGAAGGATTCCAATTCAACAAAAATATGTGAATGTGTCTCAATTTTAAAATAATTATTATGTCAAATAAGAATATTTATCTATAACTTGTATATATATTATAAAGCATCTCTCTCAATTGCAATTTCAACATAATATAAAACTATTAATGTGTGTATTTTCAAGAGTTTCTCGAATTTCTAAAACACTCAAAAAAATTGAATTCCAAAAACAAAAAAAAAAAAGAAAAAGCATTCGTTGTCTCTTTAAATTTTTCAATAAGATTCATAATTCTTCTCCATGTCTTCGACTTTAAATTCTAAAAATTGTGAAAATTAGAATTGTTAGTATTTTCACGACAAATACAACTCTCTTAGTCTAGATTTGGACATTAGTCAAGTTGTCCAGTTGTAAAGGTAATTACATCTTTAGCTTGTTCACATTTCTTCGCAAATGTTTTAACATCTATCGTTTTAGTCTATATTGAACAATGGAATGACTTAACTTTGATTTAGTAAAAATAAAACACAAAACAAGCAATTAAACAAGGAAACACACGATGCACACATTACTCATTTATTGATATGCTTAAGCTACATCATGCTCATGCACGCATATTTTTTTTTATCAAACAAGCCTATAAACTTGTCTAATAATTTATCAAACAAGCATATGAACTTTGCATTTATTCCATTACACAGTCCTCATGCCTAATTTGCAGTAGCAAAAGGGTTTGGGATATTTTTAAGAATTGGTCGTCCCATAAGCTTTTCAATCATGTTCTTCTTTTGAAGAAACTGCTTTATTTTGTACAAAGTCTCAGCCAATTTCTCAAGAGCCTCAGCATTTGTACCTTGGTTTGTTTTTACCTCTGGCTCATAGGTATCCACATTCATCTTCAAAACTGGTTTTTTCAGAAGGCTCTCTCCTACCCTTTCAAGGTTTTCAATGCACATTAAAATCCTTATTACATGTTTTTCACATATTTTTGGCTAATTGTGAGTATGAGAATATATGGTTGCTATTGTTTTATTTTAAAATAAAAAAAAACGAAATTAACTTTAAAAAATTATAACCGAAATGATGTGGTAATAAACAAAGGGACAATTCAATAGACATACTTAATCAACTTTAATGATGTGGTTTTTGGCTAATTGTGAGTACGAGAAGATATGGTTGCTAGCTAGTATATGACATTGCCCACCACGTTATAATATCACGGATCTTTGTAGTTGTATATGCTATCACCATTCATCTTTCAATTATTTGTCTCTTCTTGCATTCTAAACAATTTAGAACGTGATTAATTGATGTTACTTTTGAGGTCCCAATGATAAAGGAGTATTAGGGGTGGACAGGATTTTTCAAATCCATCCAAACTGTCCGATCCAACAGACCTATCGGATCATTTGGGTTGACAAAAGTGAATATTAATAGATATTTAATTTAATAAATAATTCTCAGTAATTAATAATAATAATAATAGTAAATAATAATAACTAATAATGATAAAAAAATCATAAAAATACAATAAAGTTGAAATAATAATATAAATATAAATATTTTATTTATTTTGGGTGATGACATCTACCTCGGTTGTTAGCTATCTTGGTTGTTGATTTGAACTCTCAAATTTAGATTGAAACAGTATAGAACAACTATTCAAATTTAGATTGAAACATGTTGGTGCAAAATAATGAAGTGACAGAAGAAGAATGAACAAAGAATAATATCAAAAGACTATTGTATATCAAAATAGAGGAGATAAAAGTAGGGTACAATATTGATAGCCTAAGATAACATATTTATATTAAATATTGAAAATACCAAAATACTCTATTAAAAGATAAGCATTGGAAATTGTAGAAATTAACTAAATTATCTTTTTCAATACCATCCCTTAATTTAGATTTTCTATCAGAAGCTAACAACATCAATTTCATCTCTCAAGCGAAGAAATTGGTCTGTCTTAATTGCCTTCGTCAGAAGATCTGCTAACTGTTTCTGGGTGCTGCAGTGCAGAACTTCTAACACTCCTTTCTGCACTTGACTTCTGAGAAAATGATATTTCGTCTCAATGTGCTTGCTTCTTTCATGTAGCACTGGATTCTTGGCAAGATCAATTGCAGACTTATTATCAATCATCAGCTTCAGAGGTTTCTCAACTTCAACCTTCAGATCATGCAAGAGATTCAGAAGCCAAACAGCTTGACAAGCAGCTACAACACCTGCGATATACTCAGCTTCACATGTTGACAGAGCCACGACAAGCTGTTTCTTGGAACTCCAGGAAATGGGACCTCCCAGAAATTTAAACAAGTATCCAGAAGTACTTCTCCTGTCCACTCTGTCTCCACACCAGTCAGAATCATAATAACTTACTAATTTTGGTTATGTCTTTCTTTCAGAAGAAAACAACACTCCATATTTCAGAGTTCCCTTGATATATCTCAGAATTCTGACAGCAACATGGAAATAAGACCACTTTATATTACTCATGAATCTGCTAACAATCCAACTGCATAACAAATGTCAGGTCTAGTATTGTATAAATACCTTAGAGAACCAACCAACTGTTTGAAGGTTGTAGTATCAACAAAATCACCATCAGAGTCAGAATCCAATTTTTGATTGATTTCTGATGGTGTCAGGACAACTTTACATTTCTGCAGCTTAAATCTCTTCAGAAGTTCAAGTTCGTACTTCAACTGATGTAGAATGATACCCTTCTTTGAGTACAGAATCTCCATCCCTAGGAAATATATTTCCTAGATCTGTCATCTCGAACTCATTCATCAGAACTTATTTGAACTTCTTTATATCTTCTGGGCAGCTTCCTATTAGCAAAATATCATCAACATAGAGACACACCAGAATCATATTGTAATTAGAGTGTTGCACATAAATGCCATATTCCATCTCACATTTCTAAAAATTCTGCTTCTTGAAAAACGAATCAATTTTCAGATTCCAATCTCTGGGCGCTTGCTTCAGTCCATACAGAGTTTTATTCAACTTGTATACCATCCCTTCCTGATTTATTTTCACAAAGCCAGGAGGTTGTAACACATAAACTTCTTCCTGTAATGGACCGTTAAGAAATGCAGACTTCACATCTAGATGCATCAAAGGCCAATTTCTATTTGCAGCTAAAGCAATCACCAATCTGATTGTTTCATGCCTAGCTACAGGCACAAACACCTCAAAGTAATCTAGCCCAGGTTTCTGAAGAAAACCTCTAGCTACTAGTCTAGCTTTGTGCTTGCCAATTGAACCATCTGGCTTAAGCTTTAACTTAAAAACCCATTTGACACTGATGGCTTTTTTTTTACCTTGGTTACTCCCAAATTTAGATTGAAACAGTATAGAACAACTATTCAAATTTAGATCGAAACAAAGGTTAGTACTACTCTAATTAAGCGAATTTTGATTTACCTTTTTATAAATAAAAAATTGGATTATCCCTCTCTAATTAATTTTATTATTTGGTTTATCTCTCCAAGTGTATAAATTTAACACTAAATTTGGAGTAAATAAAAAAAATTTACATGGTGGTCATTTTTACACTTAGAGGACAAAAAAACATAAAATTTTAATATTTTAAAGGAATGATCTCATTTTTTTTCTTACATGGAATAAATCAAAACTCACCTAAGTAATATATTGCAGGGGATATTGTGTATACTGTAATACTAGTATTACATTAAGATGTAGATGTTGTTTGCATATTCCTGGCTACATCTGTTTGAGAATACTGCATTAGATGTTAATTATATTGCCATTATAAAAAGGTGTTAATTATAGTTATTTTTAAAGTGGGTGGATAAGCCAAACTAGTAGATTTATTATATTATTATTAATATTTGTTTTTATAGAGGATGATATCATCGTCCAATAATACAACAAACACATTTAAATTTAAATTATTTGTATTTAAAAATTATTTAGATATGGTGATGATGGACCTATAAATACCCTTCACATTTGGATGGAAAAATGCAAGATCTTCAAATTGAAGTGTTCTCTTTTGAAGCAAAATATAATGGCTAATAACTTTTTCCTTTTATTTGTATTTGTTTTTGCTAGTCAAGTGATTGGCGGATTGAATACAAAGCTACCACCTCCTTCCTATGGAAATACAGTAAGCATTCTTAGTATTGATGGAGGTGGGATTAAGGGAATTCTTCCAACTGTTATTCTTGAGTACTTGGAAAATGCTCTTCAGGTCAATCATTAAATTTTTCTTATGATTAAAACTCAATATTAAACAGATTCATGAAGTATAATATAATGAATAATTTTGATTTGGTTGATCAGAGTGTGTCAAGAGATGAAAAGGCAGCACTAGCAGACTATTTTGATGTGATAGCAGGAACAAGTACAGGAGGAATCATTACTGGATTGCTAACTACTCCTAACCCTAATGACACTTCACGTCCTTTATTTACTACTAAACAAATCTTACAATTCTACTTGGAATTTGGTCCTTCTATATTCAACCAAACTTATGCTATGTAATTATTCATTCATCTTAAAACACAAGAATGCTATTTAGATTTCAGTAACATTATTTTTAATATATTTTCCTTTTCTACTAAAAAATGCATGCAGTGGTTGGGATAATGATACTCCACATGCCAAGTTTGACGGCAAGTTCTTACATGAAAAGGCACATGAGCTTTTGCAAGAAACACGTCTGCATGATACATTGACCAATGTTGTAATTCCAACCTTTGATACCGTTGATTTACACCCAGTTATCTTCTCAAGCTTTAAGGTCAGCATTTTTGCATAACCATACTTAAATATTTTGGGACTTTTTGTGTGTAAAACTTTGTTTGTGCATGCAGCTAAAGTTATATTGGGACTTCATCTTATCCATCCCAACTACCACCGTATGCCTTTAAGAATGGTGATAAGGAATTCAATCTAGTTGATGGGGCTCTCACTGCAGGTGGCCCGGTAAATTCCAAACTTATGTTTCTCGATTCATGTTGATCAATGGATACACGCACATTCCATGACATGTTAATAATTTGTATATTCAGGCTTTGCTTGCAATAAGTGAAGTGATACAACAATTGAATGAGAAGAATTCTGATTTCATTCCAATAAAAGCAAACGAGCCCCTCAAAATCGTGTTGTTGTCACTAGGAACAGGAAGTAGTCCATCAGATTTAAAACTTCCTGCTTCTTTGGGACAGTTCCTTTCCTTTAATCAATGGGTACCCATATTAGCTCTTGGTTATGCTATATCTGCTGGACAAGTGAATGATTATCATCTTGAATCTGTGTTTCCAAGCGATTCATCTTCTTCCGACAATTACTATCTTCGAGTTCAGGTACATGCATGTACCAGTAGATATTAGGGTTTAGGGTTTCGGTTTCTAATTAAAATTGGAAATTTAAGAGATTCAAATTCTTTATAATTATATGCAGGAGTATAATTTGGATCCATCCATAGCTGCTGATGATACTAGTAAAGAAAACATGGAAAAACTTATAAAGGCAGCAGATGATTTGCTCCCACAGTCTGTTAAGGTTTTGAATGTAACTTCTTTTCTTCCATTCGAGAAACCAAGCGAGGGTACAAATGCTGAAGCTCTTGAAAGGTTTGTGCATTTTTAATATTCATGTGATGCACCATGTGATGTGATCTTTCATTAAATTTTCTTTTTTTTTGAAAAATCTTAACATGATTTTTTTCCTCTTTTTGAAGGTTGGCTGAAATTCTATACAATGAGAGGAAGGTGCGTTTGAAAAGAAAATCAATGGAAAAACAAGGACGACCTTTCATTGCTTCTGCTCTCCGGATGATTTAAATGGAATGAATGTCAAGGAGATGCATTGTACTATATATTGCAAGTTCTCTATCCATGGTGTGAAATAAATAGAATAATGGATATGTATTTTTAATGTGTGTTTCTAGTTTGTTGTTTTTCTTTTGAATGTATCAACTGCAAGGGTGTGTGGCTTTGGTTTACTAGAATAAGAGTAAGGATTTGACTGCACTTTGAATTCCTTGTAATACTTATGCTTAAAAAAGGAATTTGGTCTTTTCCTTTATCATGTATGCCTTCTATTTAATTTTTCTCTTTTTTTATGTTCATGTTTACACCAAAATAATAATTAGAATTACAGGAAAAATATTCTTAAGTAGGGTTTGTCGATGGTGTATAATCAAAGCGAGGTCATGCAAGCAGTGGTGAGTCAGAAAAATTTTGAAATCTTTAAAAACCACAAATTTATATTATATATAATATATAAATAGTTATCAATCAAAATAAAAGAGACTCGTCATTTTATCAACAAAAGTATAGTTTAAAATAAAAGAGATGAAATATAACTTTACAATAGTGTGTTAAATGATATCACGAGGCAAATGTCCTTTCGGAGACTTCTTTGTCGTGAATGTTCAATAATATCAATATCATCAACTCACTTGAATACACTACTAAAAAACACACATATAACAACGTCCAAGGATCACCGCAGTTCTTCCAAATACCGTGGTGACATCTCTAAACTCAGGTGTTAGCATTTTTTTATGTTTTTTAATTAAAAATTATTAGGATATAGTAACGGTTGGTGACCTCACCGTGGTGATACAATCAAGTTTTCATGAGTTCGAACATTAGTGCTCTTAAATATTTTATTCCTTTAACGTTAAGATGTGCCTTTTCTTTTTTACTTATTTTTAAATAAAAAATAAAAGAGATATCACTACATCTGTTTTTTTCAACTGTTGTGATATATTTCATTTTTTATTTAAAATAATATATTATCACAGTTCGTCTAGTCAACAGTGATGAAAAGTGACATTTTTTTATATATAAACGAAAGTATTTGTCGTCGAGTTCATAACAGTCGTTTTTCTCTAAAGAAAATCCTAACATATCATCAACTTATACACATCAGTTTTCTCCAGTGACCACTACTCATAAATAGAAAACTCTTAAAGGAAGTTTAAAGGATACCTGACCGGAGAAATAACACAAACTCTGACGGCATGTTCTCTTACTCTCTCTTTCGATCTCTCTTAACTTGCTCTCTTCTTTCTACTCTTCTTCTAAATATTGTTGATGCTTAGAAGTTAGGATTATGATTTTAGGGTTTGATTTCAACTTCAGCAGCGTAACAGTAAGAAAATGGTAGATCCATTGCAATAAGTCAGTAGGTTGCTTTATATAGTTTATTGGTTGTATTGTGATGATGATCATGGTTGAAGTTTGTTGCGTTTCTTTGCAGATTATGGTGTTGGATGGTTAAGAGGATGATACATGGTGATGATGGTGGTAGAAAGTGTATAGTATGAATTGATAAGGTATTGAATGTTCTCATTTTTTCAGATTCATATTCATCACCTTAACAAAATGCATACTTTCGCTATGCTACATATAGTTTGTGTTGCTATGGAAAAAATACAAGAAGTATGGAGTTATTGTGGAAACTTTATCCACCTTGTATTTCTTTTTCATAACATCATAAACTAGACGAACTTTATAATTTATTATAGTTCCACGATTATTTTCAATAAAATGTGTGTTCTTGAAACAATTTAGTATATCTTGTGATATTATATGTTGTTAATGTTTTGTTTCTAAAATGTATGTTTTTTTTTATAATTTTGTTGCATGTATTTGTTGTGTTGTTGTATGTTATTGTTGTTGACAAATATTCTCAAAATAAAAACAAAACATTGCTAAGTTACAAGAAAGAGGCTTCTTGTGACTTAACAATATTTTGTTCTTTAAATTCTTATACATGTTGACAGTAGATGATGTTTAATTACAACAAATAATACATTTCATGACAGAGTTTTCATGTCCAACGCGCTAAAAAATGAGAGAATACGTCCTGAGAGCGCAATGTTTGATTTTATTAATAAGATAATAAACATGTTACGTCAGTGTTATCAAAACCGAGGTAACACAACTATAAGTTAGCATTTTTTTTAATCTATAAAATAATAATAAACATGTTATATCGTTTTTGGTTTAGAAACAAGGTAATATAGCTATAAGGAACCTCGCTTCGAATCCTATTTGCCGTGTTTTTAACTCTTTTCAACGACTTAACACAAAAACTGGGTTAAACAAGAATAGGAAATAATAGTAAAATTTAAATATTTCATTGATAGGAACTACAACATCACCAAAGCAACTACAAAAACACAAACAAATAAAACTACTCAAAAAATTCAAACTTCTCAGTCAACTCAACTACAATATCACCCCTAACCATCCCTAACTTATTTAAAAGTTCAGAAAGAACTCTTCCATAAGGTACGAGGAAAGTCTTTTCCTCTCGAGAAGGTTCTATCATTTTCTTCAAGAAGTTGAAAATGGTAAGAGGAAGATTAACTCTCGTGTTGTATGTGAGGAATAACAAGAGATGATTGTCATAACAAGTAAGCGTTTCCATATCTTTCTCTCTTGGATGGAGATTTGACACTAGAAGTTGAAACCAAAATTTTTCAATAGGGCGTAGAGAAGCAGGACTAGAGAGATTAGTATCTTTGACATAAGTTCAGTGAAGTTTGATTTCATAGACATGGTTGGATTCATAATGTTCAACACAACTATTAAACTACAAAATTGATTGTCAAAGCAATCAGTGGTAAAGTAATGAAAAAATGATCGCCATTGACATAGGACTGGATGATTTCATTATCACCAGCTGGCACAACGAACAAATTCATCTAGAACTCTTTAACAAGGTTAGTGTATATGGGTCCATTTAGAATGTTAAAGTAACCACTAAACTTTTATTTGTTAACAACTTTCCTTAACGTTTTTTCTAAACCTTCAAAATCTTTGAAGTTAACATACTTTTCTTTGATAACAAACAATAGATTTGCATCCATTTTTTATACGTTCGTAACAAGGAAACAGAGAGTTGGTAATGAGAAGTTGAAAATAGGAAAATACTTTGAATCAACGAGTTGGTAATTAGACATTTAAATAGCTCAAAAGCCTCTTTGATAATCTAAAAGAGACGTTACGAATTTAAAATAAGATGATCATTGCTATTCTTGTGATATGATAACTTAAAAGAGACGCTTCCAATGCATGAGCGCCACCGTGTTGTTCTAAATTCTCTGTTAATTGTATTCTTTATTGTAAATTAAATGTTCTAAACCGTCGGTTTTCTTACAAAATCAAGGGAAACTCTAGCGTTAAAATATAGCATTAAAATTAAGATGGTTTCTCTGGCTACAGCCAGATCAAGATGGCTCCCGAAGACATGGAAAAAACAACTTTCGTTACACAGTGGGGCACTTTCTGCTACAAGGTGATGCCTTTTGAGTTGAAAAATGTTGCGGCAACTTATCAGCGGGCAATGGTCTCTTTGTTCCACGACATGATTCACCACGAGATTGAGGTTTATGTCGATGATATGATAGCCAGGTCTCAGAATGAGGAAGAGCACCTTGATCAACTCCAAAAGCTGTTCGACAGATTGAAGGTATATAAATTGAGATTGAATCCAAACAAATGCATTTTCGGGGTAAGGTCCGGTAAGCTTCTAGGTTTCATCGTCAGCGACAAAGGTATTCAAGTAGATCCTGCAAAGGTAAAAGCTATACAAGAAATTCCAACTCCCCGTACAGAGAAGGAAGTTAGAGGTTTCTTGGGACGCCTGAATTATATCGCCAGGTTCATTTCACATCTGACTGCTACTTATGAGCCAATCTTCAAACTTCTGAAGAAAGATCAAGTAGTAAAGTGGAACGATAAATGCCAGACCGCTTTCGAAAGAATCAAGGAATACCTACAAAAACCACCAATTATGATGCCTCCAGTTGAAGGGAGACCTTTGATATTGTACCTGACAGTATTGGACAATTCAATGGGGTGTGTGCTGGGGCAGCATGACGAGTCTGGTCAAAATGAGCATGCAATATACTATCTTAGCAAAAATTTTACCGACTGTGACACACGGTACTCACTGCTCGAGAAAAATTGTTGCGCTTTGGCATGGGCTGCTCGCCGACTGAGACAGTATATGCTGACTCACACTACCTTGTTGATATCTAAGATGGATCCGATCAAGTACATTTTCGAGAAGCCCGCTCTTTCCGGAAGAATAACAAGGTGGAAAATGATCTTAACTGAATACGACATACAATATACAACCCAAAAAGAAATAAAGGGGAGTGTATTGGATGATCATTTGGCTCATCAGGCCGTAGATGACTACCAATCCATGAATTTTGAATTCCCGGATGAGAATATCATGTTAGTAACCGACTATTAAGAACCTGGGCTGGATGAAGGACCCGAGGAGGGATCCCGATGGTCTATGTATTTTGATGGAGCCTCAAACGCACTAGGTAACGACATTGGCGCCGTAATCATATCTTCTGAGGGTTGTCATACTTTGTTCACTGCCTGATTATGTTTCAACTGCACCAACAATATGGAGGAGTATGAAGCATGCATCATGGGTCTTCGAGCTGCCATTGACCTAAGGATAAAGTTCTTTAGTCTATTCGGGGATTCCTCTTTGGTGATAAGTCAGATCAAAGGCGAGTGAGGTACAAAGCATCTGAATCTTATCCCGTACAAAGAGCATGTACTGACGTTGCTCCCACACTTCGAGGAGGTGACCTTTGAACATTTCCCACGAGAGGAGAATCAGTTGGCGGACGCGTTAGCCACCATGTCTTCCATGTTCAAAGTCAAGTGGGACAACGAAGCTCCCCGAATCACCATTGAAAGGTTGGATGAACCGGTGCACTGCTGTGAAATCGATACCGAAGAGGTAACAGACAAACCCTGGTTTCACGAAATCAAAAGGTATCTCGAGGCTCAAGAGT